TGATGTCAACGAGATAAAGTCAGTTGATCAAATGAAAATGCTGGCCCACAGATGGCTCCAACTTCATCCTGTTCCCTACTTGTATGTCTCATAATAATAAAAATGCTTTCAAATGAGCTGATGTAGGTAACAGCTCTTAGCTTGCCAATAAAGCTAGGGATCCTTAACCTAACCTTGTCAGGCCCTGGGTAAAAAAAAAAAAGAGAGAGAGAGAGAGAGAGAGAGAGAGAGAGAGAGAGAGAGAGAGAGAGAGAGAGAGAGAGAGAGAGAGAGAGAGAGAGAGAGAGAGAGAGAGAGAGAGAGAGAGAGAGAGAGAGAGAGAGGGAGAGAGAGAGAGAGAGAGAGAGAGAGAGAGAGAGAGAGAGAGAGAGAGAGAGAGAGAGAGAGAGAGAGAGAGAGAGAGAGAGAGAGAGAGAGAGAGAGAGAGAGAGAGAGAGAGAGAGAGAGAGAGAGAGGTTGGTAGATTGCATTTTCTTGGACCGCAAGAAAGCTTTCGACACACTGCCACACAAGAGATTATTGCAAAAGCTAGACGATCAGACAGGTATATCAGGAAAGGTACTGCAGTGGATCAGAGAATACCTGGCAGGAAGGCAACAAGTCATGGTACGTGGCGAGGTGTCAGAGTGGGCGCCTGTTCCACAGGGGTCAGTCCTAGGACCGGTGCTGTTTCTGGCATATGTGAATGACATGACGGAAGGGGTAGACTCAGAAGTGTCCCTGTTTGCAGACAATATGAAGCTAATGAGAAAAAATCAATCGGATGGGGATCAGGCAGGACTACAAAGGGAACTGGACAGGCTGCAAACCTGGTCCAGCAACTGGCTCCTTGAATTTAACCTCACCAAGTGCAAGTCATGAAGACTGCTGAAAGGGAAAGAAGACCACAGACAGAGTACAGGTTAGGGGGAAAAAGATTGAAAACCTCACACAAGGAAAAAGATCTTGGTGTGTATAATACCGAGCAAATCTGATGCGCACATCAACCAAATAACTGTTGCAGCATATGAGCGCCTGGCAAACATAAGAATAGCGTTTCGACACCTCAGTAAGGAATCGTTCAAGACACTGTACATCGTGTACGTCAGGCCCATATTGGAGTAGTATGCAGCACCAGTTTGGAACCCACACCTGGTCAAGCACGTCAGGAAATTAGAGAAAGTGCAAAGGTTTGCAACAAGACTAATTCTGGAGCTAAGGGGTATGTCCTACGAGGAGAGGTTAAGGGAAATCGACCTGACGACACTGGAGGGCAGGAGGGATAGTGAAAACATGATAACGACATATAAAATACTGAGAGGAATTGACAAGGTGGATAGGGACAGGATGTTTCAGAGATGGAACACAGCAACAAGGGGTCACAATTTCACATTGAAGACTCAGATGAATCACAGGGATGTTAGAAAGTATTTCTTCAGTCATAGAGTTGTCAGGAAGTGGAACAGTCTGGAGAGTGATGTAGTGGGCGCAGGGTCCATACATAGCTTTAAGAAGAAGTATGATACTAACTATAATGCAGTCACTTAACCTTAATACCACAATCTGTAATAATTTAAAGTTTAGAATTAATCTAAGTCTGCCCGAAATGCCTAGCCATGCTAGGTGTCCTAGTGGCCCCCTCTGTAATTAGTATTTTAAAACATGTAAACCACACAATATTCAAAATCTGTAAACCCCGCATTGTAATCCTTATAGAGAATAAAATTGATTGATTGATAAAGCTCATGCAGCAGGGAGAGAGTGGACCTAGTAGCGACCAGTGAAGAGGCGGGTCCATGAGCGATAATTCGATCCCTGCAACCACAATTAGGTGAGCACATACACACACACATAGAGTACATAGACACACAAGCACATACACTATCGACAAGTGCCTTTGACAACCAGCAACTAACACAACAGGCCAAGTAATAAGTAATAACATTATCATCTCAGAGAACTTAAGTATATTTAATATTTAACCTTCCTGTGTTATTTAATATCCATTGTGCAATAAGTATTCCCTGATATACTGAACATAGTCATCATAATTTTAAGAATAAAAAAATATAGGTACTGGCCGAAAACTGGGTATCTGCTAAAATTTTGGTATCGTCCCATCCCTAAAGTAGGCTTGTCAGACCAATTCTGTAATTTGTTCAGATCCCCTTGTAGTTTTTCTTGGTCTGCTTCTGTCTGTATCTTTCTCATTAGTTTTACATCATCTGCAAGCAAGGATACCACTATTTCTTGTCAAGTCGTTTATGTACACAAACATGGATACCACTATGTACACAAGCAGGGATACCCCTATTTCTTGTCAAGTCGTTTATGTACACAAGCAGGGATACCACTATTTTTTTTCTGTCAAGCCGTTTATGTACACAAGCAGGGATACCACTATTTCTTCTGTCAAGTCGTTTATGTACACAAGCAGGGATGCCACTATTTCTTCTGTCAAGTCGTTTATGTACACAAGCAGGGATACCACTATTTCTTCTGTCAAGTCGTTTATGTACACAAGCAGGGATGCCACTATTTCTTCTGTCAAGTCGTTTATGTACACAAGCAGGGATACCACTATTTCTTCTGTCAAGCCGTTTATGTACACAAGCAGGGATACCACTATTTCTTCTGTCAAGTCGTTTATGTACACAAGCAGGGATGCCACTATTTCTTCTGTCAAGTCGTTTATGTACACAAGCAGGGATACCACTATTTCTTCTGTCAAGTCGTTTATGTACACAAGCAGGGATGCCACTATTTCTTCTGTCAAGTCGTTTATGTACACAAGCAGGGATACCACTATTTCTTCTGTCAAGTCGTTTATGTACACAAGCAGGGATACCACTATTTCTTCTGTCAAGTCTTTTATGTACATAAGAAACAGTATTGATCCCAGGGCTGACCCTCCTGAAGGATAATCAGGTTTGATGCAAGGAAAGGATAGGCAGCTCCAATTCATTTGATCAAAAACAATTCACTAGCATCAAAGCATCCTCCTTAAAGAGACAAATGCGCTAGAAAACAAAGAAGGATGACTAAGTCTCCTTTACTATCAATCTTTCCAAAGATGCATTACGGAGGATCGAGTCTCCACTACTCTTTGTGCTGAGTGACTGAAGGGAGATTTATTGAATCGTACAAATAGAATACATGAATAAATAAAAAGATAAGAATAAATAAAGGGGGATATTAATAAAACGCTAAAAATATCTAAGAACTCACAACAATGTATTCAAATTTGACTAATTCAGACTCAGAAATGATATAGAAAGTATTCTTCTGACAATAAGAGTTGTATATGACACTGCTAAGTAGCTGTGTTGCAGAATTTACTTTGGGTGACTTTAATAATAGGTTAAATTTTGTGAATGACCGAGTATGAACTATCTAGCATGGGCTAGTAGATAAGGGCAAGCAGGCCTACTGCCTTCACTTTCATTGAACTATCTACCAAGGGATTGTACATAAGGGCTATTAGGCCTTTTGCCTTCGCTATCATTTATTTGAAGGCCTACTGCCTTCACTGTCATTCATTTAATAGCTGTCCCGCAGACTGCCACAAGTGCATAGACAACTGCAAATTCTCATCTCCCCCTCCTTGTCAGTGTAGGCAAAGTACTTCCCACCTCCGGTGTGGTTAGCCATTTCCTAGAATCCCTTCAGAAACATCACCTTGCTCACATTCCAAAAGCACTAAATAAAAAAAATCACACAATTACTCCGATCTGGCACACTCCTACATGCCTGGCGGGTCTATCTTTGACTATTATCCGGTACCGAATGAAAGAAAAAGGGGGGGGGGAGGGAACCTAGACAGGTCAGATGAAGAGGAAAAAGACAGTCAGGGTAAGGAGAGGTAAGGAAACAGCCAGGGTGAAGAGAGATGGAGACAACCAGGGTAAGAAGTGACGAAATTCATGGTGAGAAGTGATGAGACAGCCAGTGTGAGGAGACAATTAGGGTGAGGAGAGGTGAGGAGACAGCTATAGTAAAGTCACGTGTGTTTTGAAGACAAGAACATTTAACAATATCCTGGGAAAGACAATCAACAGAAACAAAACCGATACCTAAAAGAATCACATTAAGAATTATGTATTTATAAGGGAGGATTCAACAGGCGGCTACTCGGGAGGTTACACAAATAACCCGCACATAAAAGAGAGAAGCTTACGACGACGTTTCGGTCCGACTTGGACCATTGACAAAGTCAGTGACTTTGTCAATGGTCCAAGTCAGACCGAAACGTCGTCGTAAGCTTCTCTCTTTTATGTGCGGGTTATTTGTGTATTGTTCCAGTCACGGTATTGTGCCTTTTTGTTATTTACTCGGGAGGTTCCTTGACGTCAATAAGGGCTCTTCATCCAAGGAAATGGATCTGACTTACCCTTTCTTGGATCAAATCTGAATGCCTCTCATTCCCACAAACGCTGTATGTCCCCTATGGGTTTAGCATTCCCTCTTCTTCTAGTTATCAAGCGGGCGGCGGCCAGACACGCAAACACAGCAAGTCTTTATTAAAAACTACATTTCGCTATGTGACAGCTTTATCAAGTTTACAAAGTTGCTGAGCGAAGTGTGTTTTTTAACAAGGCTTTCTATGTCTACATGTCTTTCATTTATGCCAACTGACTGTTTATATTTTAAGATGGCGTCTGTGAAGGTTAGCAGAGAGACAGTCTACACAGAGACACATTTTATGGGATGATTATGACTCAATAATGTTATCACAACCTGATGAAGCAGGTACTTCCTAAAGAAGACTGTTTGATAACCAAGGTTAATGAATGAAAGACAAGCAGTGTGGCCTATACAAACAGGGGTCTTTTGGTCTTCTTTCCCAGAATGCGAGTTATAGCAGTCGCCTAATGCCCAAGTACCTACTTACTGCTAGGTGAACATGGGCAACAGGTATACGGAAATATGTTTAATATCCCCGCTAGCTCCGAGAACGAGCCCGGATCTTTCTGCCGTGAGCCGAAAGAGCTACAATTGTGCCACGACGTACAGATACTCACTCGGAACAGCTCCGGCAGGACGTGTGCTGGCTGGCCGCGTATAACGAACAGACGAGAGTTGAGCTTCCGCAACGAACTGTCGATGTCCTCTAGAGACTGCAGAAGGAATCTGGGGAAAAGGGGAAATATGTGTCTTGAGTGATGGAAAAACAAATGAAATATGAGGGAAACGCACAAGGCACTGTAAGGAGAAACAAAATGAGTGAGGTAAAATAAAGGTAAATATGTATTTCGGATCAGAGAAAGGTGTCCCCATGTTCCCTAAGTCCAGCCTCCTCTACCTCAGTGCACACAAAAGGAATAGTGCAGCAAAATATAAGATATGTATTCATATAAGTATGTATGTGTATATGTGCATGTATTTATATACGCATGTATGCATGTCTTCATGTGTATACATGTATGAATTCACACTTTTGTATGTATGCACATGTGTGTGTAGGTGTACATATATGAGAATGTAAGTGTGCATATATGTACTCTTATGTATGACTGTGCATAAGGACTTACACCCCAATTAATTTTCTGAGTTTGTCTTCATATACCTAGAGATGGAGTATAGCTGGAGAGGGTTTCGGGGGGTCAACGCCCCCGCAGCCCGGTCTGAGACCAGGCCTCGTGGTGCATCAGGGTCTGATCAACCAGGCTGTCACTACTGCCAGCACACAAACTGACATATGAACCATAGCCCTGACTTTAGGTGCCTGTCCAGTGCCTTCTTGAAGACAACCAGGGGCCTGCTGGTAATCCCCCTTTTGTATGCTGGAAAACAGTAGAACAGTCCTGGGCCTCTGCTGCCATGCTCCTTCGTTATGTTCAGGTTAAAATAACCACCAGCATCAGTTAAATATACCATTCAACTGTAAATGTCAAAATGGCTCAATTAAGAGTTCTGAAGGTCCCTACAACAACCGCAGCAATGATAAAAAAAAAACCATGATGTAAGAAAAAAAAAAAAAAAAAAAAAAAAAAAAAAATCCCAAGTCGTGGTAAACAGTTAAAATGTGCTTCATAGTCAGCAGTACGCTGCAAGCGTCATAGAGAGTAGTTAGTTTAATATCTTAATTATGCACCCCATACCCATCCTGTGAGTGGTAGTCAAAAGATTACAGAGGTACATAATGGGTCCAGGAACTGGGCTACAAAATTTTGATAACTAAACAAGTTACAGTGGTAATGAACTATTTACATGTTTATATCTGGTTATAATTATAATGAGTTATTTATGCAGACATAAATTAGGTCACACACACAAGGGGATATCTGTGTCATCGACTCTCAGTCGTGATGAATGGTTTGAAAAACCGACAAGTTGAAGATTGAGACACTTATGCAGCATATGGGAATCTTTATTCAGGAAACGTTTCGCCACACAGTGGCTTCATCAGTCCAATACAAAGAGGAAGGCGTAAGGAGAGGAGGAGTATGAGGTAATCAGTCCCTCAGCCTGGAGTCGATGTGTTCAGTCTATCAATCTTGTAGAATGTACAGCATAGGGCCGTAGACTCCTCTCCTTACGCCTTCCTCCTTGTATTGGACTGATGAAGCCACTGTGTGGCGAAACGTTTCCTGAATAAAGATTCCCATATGCTGCATAAGTGTCTCAATCTTCAACTTGTCGGTTTTTCAAACCATTCATCACAACTGTCAGACACTGCAGCATCATGGGATTTTGTTACAAAGAATTCTTCAACACTTGTTCAACCTTTGGACAAAGACCTACTTCGACTAGTGGATGGTACCACTATGACCCCGCCTCCGCCTGCTTCACCTCACCTCACTACAGTATATAAGCCACGTCTACGGCCCTATGCTGTACATTCTACAAGATTGATGGACTGAACACATCGACTCCAGGCTGAGGGACTGATTACCTCATACTCCTCCTCTCCTTACGCCTTCCTCTTTGTATTGGACTGATGAAGCCACTGTGTGGCGAAACGTTTCCTGAATAAAGATTCCCATATGCTGCATAAGTGTCTCAATCTTCGACTCTCAGTCGACTAAGGGTTGTCTCCAAGTGACAGTTCCTGTTGAAGGAGGCCAAAGCACCCAGCTCCTGTGGAACCCTGTATAATTTGCTTTTTATCTGTAGGGCCCAGCGGGTCCGCTGCTTCCTAAAGAACATATCTATACAGAAGGGAGGACTGACAGGAGGAAGGGTGGACAAATGAAAAGAAGGACGAGTAGAGTAAGGGAAAAGCGGACAAAAGGAAGGGATAGCGAACATGGTAGCTAGAAGAAAGACTTACAGAAGGGAAGCCAGAATGAAGGAAGAAGGGACAGACAAGAAGGAAGACACAATAAAAGAACATACAGGAAAAAATAAAGTATAACAGACAGAAAGAAGAGAGGGTAGCCAGAAAGACAATGAGAATCGAGGTTGCATCTCATGGGCTATTTTAGTTTGGAGGAGCACTAACAACAATTGCAAAAACGAGAGCAATAGGAAATAAGGCAGCAATAATGACATCGTTAAGGCCAGTGCCACGTCCAGATACTCTAAGGACCTACTTCCCTCCAGACACCCTGAGTGCCTGGAAGTTGTTGAGATCAATGCCACATGTGGATGCACTCCCAAGGTCTCGTTTCCCTCAACTTGACCCTAGTACATCTAAGACTTCTACCCACCTTTGGAGTTGGAACCGCCATTACCTTCGGATAAAACCCGACTACCTCCCCTTCCAAGCGCTGTATGACTCCAACGGGTTTAGATTTTTCCCATGAGTATAATAATAATAATAATAATAATAATAATAATAATAATAATAATAATAATAATCCTTCTATACATAATCAAGTTATCTGTGTCTATTTATCGATATCATAGAGCATTTCTTATGCCGCGATCATATATATTCTAATTCCTTTCTCGTCCAGGGAGGTAAAGTGTATGCATGTATCTATCTGTAATATCTGTAATATATATGGTTGGTTTGTTAGATTTAAAGCATACCGATTATACAATTGGCCTGTGCTTCACCTTAATCCCTAAAATAGTGATTACAGTTTACTGCCAGCATACCTATACGCAGTAGCGGATTTAGAGGTTCAGGGGACCTAAATGGACCACCATTTAGGGGCACCTATATGGGGGCCCCTCGCTGCAACTATCGATTGATGCGCGACTGCAGCATCTTTGAATTCATTTACATAAAAATGTTGTTTACTTTTTAAGAAAGAATATGACGTAGAATGGTGATAAGTTCGCTGCTTAGGTATGGAAAGAATGAAGAGCTCAAAAAGACACTATACAAAACTCAAGAGGGTCGTATAATAGAACGAAAGGAACACGTGACGGACTTTGCAATAATTATGTCAGCTGACCTCTATTTCAAAGAACACAATAAGACCAAGGTAACGACAATCAGAAGAATGACAGAGATAATTAGAACTTTCAAAACAAGGGAAATAATGCTATTGGTGACATTTGCTGAATGCAGTCATATAATATGATCTGTTCAGATGCTTTTCCGATGTACCGATCATTAAACGTCTTATTTTGGTGTCAAGCATTTTTTTTTTTTTTTTAGTGAGGCTGTTGTTCGTCCGCCTCCACGTCCGTCTAATATGTTTCCTATCTTTTGTGAAATTCGACTTCATCTATGTTATTATATTTTCAGAGAAGCACTAAACCTGCATTATTATTATTATTATTACTACATTCTTGGGAGAGCGCTAAACCCGTAGGGGTCATATAGTGATGGGGAAATGGAAGGCATTCAGGTTTGAGTCAAGAAAGTGGAACACAGGTCCAATTCCTCAGATCAGGAGCCCCTCACCAGCATCAAGGAATCTCCCTCGGGGAAGGAAGGGTAAATCAGTAGGGGGTCGTACAGCGCCTGGAAAATGGCAGGTAATTCAATCTGACTCGAGAAAGAGGGAAAAAGGCGCTTCATTTCCTTGACTGATGCCAGCAGTTACTTTGTCTGATTTTTTAGGTTTTCCTAGGTTCTCTACACATATGCTGCTATGTATGATAATCTGTGTAACTGTATTTATGTATTCCTAAATAAATTTACTTGCTATCACAGGAAGAACTAAAAGCCATAAAGGAAACTGAAAAAAAAAATACTTCTTCTCTTACGCCAAATCTAAGGAAAACCAACATCCAGTACTGGGCCCATGCTTAGGCGGGATGGGACAAACCCAGATGACAGCCAAGAAATGACCGAGATACTAAAGTCCCAATATGACTCAGTGTTCAACAAGCCACTGCCCACTCTAAGGGTCGACAATCCATATGAATTCTTTATGAGCGAAACCCAAAATTGGGTCATCCCAAAAATCTCGGATATTATTCTAACTCCACAAGACTTTGAATAGGCAATTAATGGCATGCCCATGCACTCTGCCCCAGGCCCAGACTCGTGGAACTCCGTGTTCATCAAGAATTGCTCGAAGCCCCTATCGCGTGCCTTCAGCATTTTATGGAGAGGGAGCATGGACACAGGGGTTATCCCACACACACTAAAAACAACAGACATTGCCCCACTCCACAAAGGTGGCAGTAAAGCAACTGCAAAGAACTACAGACCGATAGCACTAACATCCCATACCATAAAAATCTTTGAGAGGGTTCTAAGAAGCAAGATAGCCAACCACCTAGATACCCGTCAATTACAGAACCCAGGGTAACCTGGGTTTAGAGCAGGTCGCTCCTGCCTGTCCCAGCTACTGGACCACTATGACAAGGTCCTGGATGCTGTAGAGAATAAAATACAGATGTAGTATACACAAACTTTGCAAAAGCTTTCGACAAGTGTGACCATGGTGTAATAGCACACAAAATGCGTGATAAAGGAATAACGGGAAAAGTTGGTAGATGGATCTACAACTTCCTGACAAATAGAACACAAAGAGTAATAGTAAACAGAGTAAAGTCCCAGGCAGCCACGGTAAAAAGCTCTGTTCCACAAGGCACAGTACTCGCTCCCATTCTATTTCTAATCCTCATTTCTGACATACAGAGATGTAAGCCATAGCTCCGTGTCTTCCTTTGCGGATGACACCCGGATCGCCATGGCAGTGACCTTCATCGAAGACACCGCGAAGACATCGAATGGGCTACTAAAAACAATACGAAGTTCAACGAGGAGAAATTTCAAC